CTTCTTGGCAGAAGTGATATTCAGATCTCTGCTCTGTTTGAAGTTGGGTTATCTTTAGTAATATATGAGTCTTATCTCTTCTTCTGTGAAAGGAGAGCATTACTTCCTTAATGAGAGTTGCAGTGGTCAGGAGAGCAGTGACTGGCAAGGCTCCCAGCACTCGGCGCCCAAAGCCTGGGCTCTGAAAACTTGGTGAACCTTCGGCTCATCTTGCCTGGAAAGTAGAAGCCAAGTTGAGTTCCTTTCACAATTCACCATCTAGCACAGTGCTTTGCACGGAGACAGGCTCCATAAACGTCTGAGAAGTATAATGAGCCAATTCACACGACTCAATATTCAAGTTTCAATCCCAGGGGCTCTGCCCCCTTGCTCCCATTTCTTTCCTGGGACCTTTTCTTCAGGGAACAATTTCCTTAATTTTATTCCCCTTGCCATCTGCCTCCTCTCCTGAAATCCGACTTGCAGTATCATTGAAGCTGATTTCGGGAGAACCAAAGGCACCCCCTCACACAGCTCTGAGATGAATGTGAGTAACCTTTGAAGAAGCTAAATGGCTGTCAAATGAACCTGTCCCCTTTCAGAGAGCCCGACAAAAAGTCATTGAAGTACTGAGCACAGTGAGAGAAATGAGGTTTTGAAAAAGCCTGATTGCATATTGACAGAGATCTTCAGCACAGTTCAGTAACCCCGAAGACGTAGCCTGCTCCGAGGCACGGCCCCCTTTCTCATTTACAGAGGTCCCAACCACTGCCAGGCCCCTAAATCGAGATTGGTGGCACCCCTCCCCAGGGGTGGGGAGCCCGCAGTGGGCTGGATTTGGGTGCCGTAATGGCAGCAATTTGATCATTCAGCCAAATTGCTGGGTGGAGAGTCCAACTCGACTTCTGACTTAGAGGTGCTCTGCCAACCCCCGCTTCAGTGCCCGGGGCATAACTAGAAAGGGCAATCATAGGTGAGAGGTGTGGCCCATCCGCCTTGCACCTTAAGCAGCTCAGTACCAAAGACACTCCATGGGAAAATGGGTGTGTGCAATTTCCTTAGGGGAAAGGACTTGCTGGATTTGGCCTTAAGCGCGGGGATAACGAGAATGTGAACAACAAGGGGTGGAGGAGAGGGACAGGAGATACTGGATTTGGCTGCAGGACGGTGACCCCTAGTCACTCTCTTGAGCCTGCTCTAGAACAGGCCAGGGGAGTGTTGGTGGAAGATGGAGATGGTGGGGTCCTGGGGTACACGGGCCGGCTTGGATTTATCTTCATACTGGGGATCTAGCATGGTTCTCAGGGGCTGGCCTGGCTTCGGATAGGAACTCAGCCCCAGGCGTAGCAGACCGCGAAGTCGCGCATCCAGTCGCGCTAGGGGGGCTGGGTGTTAGGGTAGGGACGCATCTCCAGACTTGCACAGAGATAGGGCGCCGCTGGCCCCGGCTCGAACTTTGACGCAAACCCCACAGCACAACACCAGCCGCCACTAGACACGGAGGACGCAACCCCCCCCAGCAGCACGAGACGCCAGCCTCCCAGGGACCGGTTAAGCCATCCCGCGCTCCTCATTGGATGAAAGCCCTTGTCCATCACTGAGGGACGACGCTTCTTGGTGCTAAGTGGGGAGGGAACGAAGATGTAGTACCCAATGGCAATCAAGAGCTTTGCTTCTGCAGAAGATTGGCAGATGCTCAAACCACTGAGGATCCGCGGAGGGATATTTCCCATGAAACATGATTCGGCCATTCTGGGGACAGCGGTTAGTATCTGTGTGTGTTTTCTCTTGGTACTTCAAGTGCGAAATTAATTAACTCGTAAATGGAGCTGTGCCGTGGGCCAGGGTGTTTCTTTCAATTGGATTTTGGTTTTCAGCTAAGTCTCCTGAATTTGGTAGACTTTTCCTGGAATTACCTAGTGCTCCGGCACCCCTTAGTAGACGCCCCCTTCTCTATGCAGGATCGGAGCTGGACTAGCCCCCGCCCCCCAGCCGCGCAGCGCCAGAAATGGCGGCCTAAATAAAGGGCAGTGCGTGCTGTTAGATGAATTAAAGCTAAGATTGAATGGATGGTCGCCAATAGGAAACAGACAGTTTAGGGGGGGAATGTAGGGAGCACTTAAACATTTGAATGGATGCTCAACCTTTTTCAAGTAAGAAAAATGCAAATTAAAAGCACCGAACGAACATTTCTGACCTATTGGGTTGGTAAAAATCCAAAGTTTAACAAGGTACTTAGTTAAAAATCAATGTAAAACTGGCTCTGTCTCATGTTACTGGTGGAGTGCAAATTGGCATGGGGTGGGGGATGGGTCTGTAATACCCCCAAATAATGTGAATTTAGCTTTGAATCAGCAGTCCGTTATCAGGAATCGACCCTGAGAACATGCTTCCACAGGTAGTCGCACAAAGTTTTATTCATATGATATTTGAATTGGCGCAAAATTGGAAACGACACAAGTGACCGTTAGTAGGGAAATGGCTGAACAAACCGTGGGGCATCGGCTAAGCGCAGTGTTATCATTGTACCGCAGACTTGGCAGCGTGGGAAAAGGTGAGGGAGCCCGTGGTATCTTTTACGGAGTGATTTCCAGAGACATTGTGAAACGGGCATCTCTACCTTTGGCAAAAAGCAGGGCAAAAGGGCCTGAACCAAACTAATAAAAATGGTTTACTCAGGAGTAGAGGTGGTGGTGGTGGAGAATCTGGTGGAAGCCTTTGCGGGGGGTGGACTAGAATAAAATGATAGTAATGATAATTGTAAGAGAAAACCAAAGACCACAAAAATCTGTGACAATGGAAATTTGCTCAGCTTGGCCATTGCTCTCCAGGGACCCAGTACTAGACCCTGGAAGGACAAGAGTGCTTGGCTGGGTGGGCCTCAGGGTACTTACGATGCGATGGGACCTTGCTCTCCATGGGGCCAAGGGTATCTGGAGAGGAAGAGGGCAGAAAGGAAATGACTTTCACCTGCTTCAGGTTACTCTAAACTCTCCTCCCACAGTGCAGAGCAGGGCCTGGCTGGGGATCCCAGACGGTGAGGTTGGTGAGGCCTGCGGATGACTGTGGGTCTCAGCCACCCGACAGCGCTCACAGCCCTGCAGTTGCGGCTCAGTGGAGGCAGAGCCTCTCGCTGCTGTCCTTCAGTGCCAGATTCCACGTACACCACGCCATGCCTTCAGAACACGAGGCCCTGTCTTACACTGGACGTCTTCCAGGCCCAGACAGCTGCCCGGAAGATAAACTTTGTCAAACTGTGAGTACAGGGAGGTCCTTTCAACAAGTGTGTGTTCTTCTAATCAAATTGGGAAGAACAAAATAACCTCAAAGTGACCTGTTCTTAGGAAAACTCTTTACATTTCCAGATTTCAAAAAAGTGAAAACAAGTAAAAATCAGCCAAACAGTGGGGCAGAAAGCTGGATGCACGGAGCTCACAGCAGGCTTGCCCTTGGCTTTAGCCTGCTCTCAAAACTTCTTGGGTTCCGTGTTATCCTCAGTGTGGGCGCTGGAGACGGCAGCCCCTTGGAGGAGAGGAAGCGAGGAGACACTGATTTTGTCTGGGTAATGTAGTTACAGACACTTGGAGGGAAGAAGGAGGTCCTGAAAGGTCTCTAGCAAGGAGAGTTTGGTAAACAAAAATGGACTATCTGTGGCCATGGTTTGTAACCCACTGCAGGTGTGTGATGGGTGACAAGTCACTGCCATCTGTGTGGGCGCCTCTGGAGTAGGGGTCCCAGGTAGGGCGGTGATTGGCCTGTGGGGGGGTGGGCGGGAACTCAGAAGCTCCGAGATGGTTCTCAGTGCTGGTGGAGCCTGAGCCCTGAAGTCGCTGAACCCACAGGCCTGGTGAGTTCATTCTGATTGGCCTCTGTCAGCCCCTGTGGCTCTGGCCCTGCATCGTAGGGCCACAGTGGCCCTGGCCTGCCATGGCCGCCTAGTGGAAGTCTTACTTCTTCTTCCTGTCCCCCTCCCACCTGCTCTTTCTTTCTCCTGGACCCTTTAGATTTAGAGGCCCTACTGAGATCGAATTGTCTTCCTCTCGCAGCTGTGAATAAACAGGGTGTTTTGCCCTGGTTTCAGATTGCAGGGCGGGGTGTTGTGTTACGTTCTTGCCAACAACCCCAGGGAACTGGTAAGAATGGGTTTGAATGAGCAGATGCATTGTTTCTGAAGGCACTTTGATTTCCTTGACCAGTAGCAACACTGATGTCAGGCGACATATGGGTGTCCGTCTGAGATGGGTTTTAGAGGACTCTCTGGCCACAGATGGACTCGGGGGTGTCCCAGTGGGGCAGATGAGGGGACAGGGATGGTATGAACAGGAGAGGGTGCTTATCTGAAATGGCATCAGAGCCCCCAACAGTTGCAGGGGCCAGTGCGGCTTCCTGGAAGCTTCAGCGGCCCGGGGGGCGTGTCGAGTGTCCCAGGTACTTCAGACACTGGCTTCCAAGTCCCTGGGTGGTTGACAGTGATCCTGGTGTCTACCCAGTACCACCCCCTGTCCCTTCCTGACAGAGCCCAGTGGGATCCAGTTTCCCCTCCTCTTAGTGGCCATGTGTGTAGGGGACCTGGCTGCTTCCCCAGGCACCTCGGCCAACCACGGCGGTCTGTGCTGGTGACCTGTTGAAGCATGGACATGTGACATATTTTGGCCAACTGGCACCTGAAGGGAGGACCAGTTCCCTTATTCCTGGAGACACAAGCAAGAGATGGTGACTCTTTTGCTGCTTCTGGACGTGACACCTGAACTCCTATGGCCATCTTGCAACCCCGAGGAGAGGTGGTCAGTGACTGAAGCCCGCACTGTGAGGAAGGTGCTGCTGAGAGAATCGTAGCAGGGCCTGGCCTTCCCGGCCTGCAGCCTCCCTGCCGCGGACCCTCAGAGACCTAAGCGCAGGCGGAGGTTCTGAACAGTCTCTAGCAAGGAGAGTCTGGTGAACAGGGGAGGGGGGGAGGGGGGGAGGGGAGGGAGGGAAGCACGGTGCCAGGCCAGCGCCAGCTGTGCGGTGTGCGGCCTGGGGGCCCGGCCACCGCATGCCTCCAGGGGACACGGGGGTCCCCGAGACCCCAGAAAGGGAACAGACAATTCTCTAATCATACAAGTTTTAAAAAGCATGCCAAAAAAGACAAAAATAAAATTTGAAAGGAGTAAAAAGCCCTGACATTTGGCTGTAACAACAGACACAGCAGCCCCTCCTGCCGCGCAGACCAGTGCAGATGTCAGCAAAGCAGCAGCAGGAGTTACAGCAGGGGGTGGGGTGAGGGGCGAGGGAGGCCGCAGCCAGCTTGGGGGCGAGAGGAAGGCGACTGTCCCCATCGCTGTGACTTGAGGTGTGTCAGATGACATGGCTTCATTTAATTCTATGTGTTGATTTAGGTCTTCTGGGTTTTTTAAAAATATTTTTTATTTATTTATTTTTCTAAAGAGGGGAAGGGAGGGAGAGAGGGAGAGGAACATCGATGTGCGAGAGAATTGTCGGTGGGCTGCCCCTCTCACGCACCCCCACTGGGGCCCTGGCCTACAACCCAGGCATGTGCCCTGACGGGAAATTGAACTGGTGGCCTTTTGCAGAATGATGTCAACCCACTGAGCCACACCAGTCAGGGCTGGTTTAGTTTTATTCCAGCAAATAAAAAAATATTTTTAAGAACTTCATGGGTTCTCCCTAACTCAGTTGGCTATGAAATTTCCTGCCAGTGGGGTGACCGGAAACCAGGCCCGAGCAGCTCAGAGCAGCCCCTGACATTGCCATCACCTCGTGCTCACCGACTCACAGAAACACGCTGCTCCCGTACCGTGTCCCAGACACCGTCCCTGAGGTCGTTGGGCATTCTCAGGACTGCCCCCTGGCATGGTCCTCCTCCCCGCATACGTGCCCGCCTTCCCCAAAGGACTCGACCTCCAGAAAGGCAGGCACCGGTCCCGTCATCTAGTTCCTCCATCTGCCAGTGTCGAGCGCTCAAGTAAGCTTTCATTACAAGCAGAGGAGTCCCGTGCTTAAACAAGGGAAACTCACAGGGCCTAACTCAGATAGTGGTTGTGTTCCAGGATGGAGGGTGAGATTGAATTAGCCTTTCGGCTCAGAGTGCTCCCCTGCTGCTGCTCCCACACAGTTACAGAGCCTTCCAGAGGCAGAACGAGAGTGTATTGTTAGCAGACGGGACGCGCAGGCCCTGCTGGCACCTTCCCTGCTGCACCGTGTGTCCTTTCCGCAGCCGTGCTGGGGCGGAGGCTACAAGCCATCCCTCCCAGGCGGCCACCTGCCCTGGGGGGTCCGGAGACAGCCTCGGAGGGCGGCCTGTGTAACAGCTGGAACCGCCCCCGCAGGCAGAAGCCAGAAGAGTCGGGGACTTTCTCCTCTGAAGACCAAAGTCCTAACGCCTGTAACGTCATGTAGAAACTGCAAGAACCAAGCAAACCTGTCTGCCGTACACCTCTACGTCTGGATATAAGATCACAGGAAGCCTACAGAAGTCCGAAAGTAACAGGCTGGGGTCATGGGTCAGGGCAGGGTCACAGCGCAGGTCGCAGACGTCCCGCTGGGCAGCGGCCTACATGTCGTAGAGCCTGAGCTGCTCTTGCACGTCCCCGTCCGACATCTCGCCGAACGTCTCCTTGTTGTCCTTCATGAGCTTGAAGATGGCCGCCAGCTGCTCTTTCTGCACTCTGTCAAGAAGAAAGGACACAGAGGAAAAAGCTGCTCCTGACCCAAGGCAGAGACAGACAGACAGACAGACAGACACACACACAGCGATCCCCCAGGGCAGAGTCACCGCCTTAGCTTTCCAGAACAGGGAGAGAACCGGACTCAGACAAAACCCCCTCGGAACACAGGAACTGGTTCTAAACACTGGGTTCTAAGTGCTGGGTTCACCCTGGACATTTGGGGACCCCCAGTAATTGCTCAGGTTCTCAGTGTTGTTTCCCATGACCCCCTTTTACTGGTGACCGCATGTCTCACAGAGGTGAGGGGAAGAAGGTGGACCCCGCTGAGTGCCTAGGGATTCTGTGCAGAAACATGTTAGAAACAGTCTTAGTTTAGAGAAATGAGCCAGAAGAGAGGAGGACAAAACATTGTGGGCTCGTAAATAGGGTGCTTACAGATGTGCTTGGCCAGGGGCGAGGGGTGGGGGTGGGGTTCCGCTGCCAGAGGAAGGGGCACCTTTTCCTAATTTGCACAGACACCATGCGGCCAGCGGGGCCCCGCCTCTTCCAGGCGCCGGGCACGGCCAGAGACAAACTTTATCTTGAGGCTGGACCGTGCCACCTGGCCAGCGCAGGGCAACACCGCCAGTGCAAACACGAGGGGGTGGGGTGAGACTGCCGTGGCCCCGGGGGCTGGGCTGGTGCAGGCTTGTTCTGCCCAGTTTGCCAGGCTGCCATGTGGCCAGGCACTGCACCCTGCCCCTGGCTCACTGTTCTGGCTTCAGGCTTCTGCACCGGCCACTGTCGGGAGATGTCAGCCCAGTGGCAGGGCGGGACCCCCATGCCTTTCCCTGCAGCTGGGCCAGCTGTGGTCACGGCACGTCTAGCAGAGCAGGCTTCGGCACATCCTCCAGCCACGTGGCCCTGACGCTGCCTGGGCAGGGGGTGTCCCAGTGTCTTGTCTGGCACTGTCCTAACACAGTCCTTCCGCAAGAACCCCAGTTCTCCCACCCAGCACTTGGTTTTCTGACTAGCGTGGCATCTACAAGCTGTACTGAAGTCCCAAATGCCAGCTCTCGATGTCACCCTGGGAAAGTTGTTTCTTCCTGGAGGAGGAAGAGCCTATGATGAGCCCTCCAGACTCTACTGTCTGAACAAAGGGCAGTGTTGGGAGTGGAAAGGGTGTTAGCCCCTTGGATGGACTCACAGCCCAGATGCACGCATGGGCAGCCCCCACGAGGCAGGTTTTCTCCTGTGTTTCTGGGCTGGGACACCTGCATATTTTTAACAGGGTGGACACGGGACTCCGACTCTGCTGGAGAGTACCCGGCATCAAAATGAGAGGAAGCTCACATTTTAAGGGGTTCACAGATTTTTTTAAAAGACAAAGCAAAACTAAAAAAAGCACACAGTAATTAGGATCATCTACTCAGAGTTTATTGGACTGAACAAAGGCTGAAGACACAGACCCAAGCCATCAGCATACAGGACGCTTGGCGCCTACGTTCAAGAAGTTTCCAGGCAAGTTAGACTGGAGCGAGCCCAGCCTGGCCCAGGACACTGCTGTTGCTGTGTGGGACGTGTGTGCCATGAGCACCTCTGCACGTGGCTCTGCGTGGCCACTGCCTCGTCACCCGTTCTGCCCAAGGCCCCTGAGCCTGAGGTATTAGTCCCAGAGGAGAAGGCCACATGCCCTATAGGTTGGCATTGGACATCTCCCAGCCTTCCATTAAATGGAAAAAATTTTCCTATAAACCTATTGCTTTAAAAAATGTTTTTTTAACAAATATATCTAAAAGCTGTGGACTAGTTTGGCATAGTATAAATATTGTCAAATATAAAATTCCAGGAAATGAATCTGGGGCTGATCTAATTATCTGGTAAAGTTCTAACATCTCTGAAAGTTTCTAGGAAAACATGTCCATGAGTCATTATTTTAAGCGAAGACTGTTATTACTGCTTCGGGCAACTTGGCTGAACGGGTCAGGACATCAGTGAAAAGGCCTGTGAGCAAACAGAGGGCTGCTTTACGCCTCCTCTAAAGGGAAAAAAGGGCACCTATGTATTGGTAGCCGGCTCTGGTTCTTTGCTGCTCAGTGATCAATAGCTAAGCCAGTTATGGCTGAGCCAGAGAGAGAGCGAGAGGGACGTGGCCCAGGCAGAGGAGGGCAGCGGGCTACCCATGACCTGCTGGGTCCGCTCTGTCCCCCACATCTCACAGCCTTTCAGGGCTGGGCTTCAGCGACGGAAAAAGCAGAAGGGCTGGGACAAGACTATCCCGATCTAAAAATGATGAAGTAATGCACCCCGAGGTGCTCGCAGGTGCGGCGGGCATGCGGGGGCAGGGAGCGAGACCAAACTCATAGAACCCTTCAGCGTAACAAAGTAAGCCACCCAGAGACGAGGAGCCTCCCGACAGCAGGAGAGCAGGGGCGTCCCCTGGGCCCTGTCAGCCGAGGGGACGTCCTGTCCGGGGGTCTGCGTCCCGGCACTGCGTGGGCACGGGGTGCCTGGGAGCCCGCAAGGCTGCTCTCTGGGGGTCTCGTCTTATCTCTCAAGCCTGTAAGATGCCAAGTGGAAAAGCCTCTAGGAGGGTGCTAAGGGCAACTTCGTGACTCTTCGGTTCTGTAGAGAGAAACAGGGAGAAAAGGTCATTGATCCGACTCGTGGCGCCTCCTGAGAGCCGTGGAGGGGGGGCGATGGATGAGGGAGGAGGGGGTGGGAATTGCAGAGGCCGGCTGGACACTGGCCTCCCAGACCCTCGAGGGGCACTTCACCTCTCGTCACCTTCAGCAAGACTGTCTGTTCCACTAAGCGGTGGGCCCCCCAGGGACCCTGCGTGGAAGCTCAGCAGCCTGCGACCCCCACCCCAAGTCTGCGTGGCATTTGGGTAACAGGCAGAGCCTGCATTTAGGTAGTTAGGTCACACGCCGGGCACTTCGGCCTTGTGTCTGTGCTGGGACGGTTTTTCCACCTGAGATCATTCCCTATTCCTGCTGGCTGTGTTTTGCCCCCTGCAGGGACACTGGCAGCTTAGGACTCTGCTCTTCCAGTGGAGGGCAACAGTGACCCCACTTTTTCTAAAAGAAACCCAGAAACCAGAGAGAACGCAGGGATTCAATTTTGTCCCTCTGGCGCCCTCTTCTGGAAGTCAGAGTTAGCATGTGTTTTTAGAAATGGCCACCGGCGGATCATTCGGGGCCACATCAGGCAGCAGATGTTAGGAGACTATCCCACAGCCAAGGTTTCTCTGCCTCCTTTCACCCTTGCCCATTATGCCACATAAAACACTGTCCACTGGAATTGTGTCCGTCAGTCCTGCGGACCTTCAGACTGGAGTAGGTGCTGGGGCCCCAGGTCCTCATCTATCTGAGCCAGACTGGGGTACAGCCAAGGTTGCGTCTTTGCTCTGAACCAGAGTGGAGGAGAGCAGGTGTCGTACAGTGAGAGGAGTGGGTGGTGGCCCTTCATCTCTTTCCTGCCAAATGAGGAGCCAGCCAAGCCTACCGGCTTCACTAGCTCTGGAGTGCGGGGGACATCTTGCTGGGGGCCAGGGCACAGTCACCAGCCTGCAAGCCCACTGTCCTAGCCATACTCAGGCTGGGTGGGCCACCTCCCAGAGGAGCTGCGGTAGGAACTCAGGGAGTCCCCGAGCCAGGCAGGGGCAATGCCAAGGATGCCTGTGAGCCCCACGCCCCAGAGAGCCAGGAGGAGGCGGGCGGACGGTAACGCAGCAGGTCTTCCTTAAGCAGCAGCCACCTCTGGATTTACAGACCCGCCACTTCGCCCCTTGGGCGGAGGAATTGGATCTGTGGGCAGTCCCACGGGTGGGGATGCTGAATTAAACACACAGAGGAACAAATTTGGGGTCTCCTGCTCTCAGTCCTGCTTCTTGGGGCCGTTCCCTGAAAACTTGTCAACTGAGGCTTCTGGGGAATGCTGGGTCACGTGACCTCAAACAAGTCAGGCTCCAGACACTGTTGGCGGAGTTAATGAGTTAAAGTTGGGGGCTGGCTGTGTTTATCTGGCTACTAGCTTGCAACTTGACCAGGACCCTGAATGCCAGGAAAGGCATTAGAAAGAGGCAGAGCCTGGCTGTAAGAATCTGTCCGGTGAAGAACGGCGCATACTCTTCACTGGCTTGTGGTTTTAGTGCTTTGACAGTAATACGCAGGTAGTTTTCCACGCTGACGCTTTCAGGGCAGTTTTCTGGGCTGAGCCGGGAGCGCCGTCTCATGCCTGTCAGCAGCCCCAGGCCCCACCAGAGCTACTGTGCCGTCGATGGAAGGTCAAAGCCAGACTCGCCAGCCTCTGCAACCCAAGCATCGCCATGCCAGGAACAGGAGCGGTCGCGAGAGCGGGGGCGAAAGGGGGCCCCTCGGGGCTGCGCGAGCTGACCACATGCAGGGGCGGGAGGAGCAAGCAGGCGTCACAGGCAGACGTGCCGGGCACCACGGGGAGCGTGCTTGGCCGGGCGGTGAGGAAAGTGAATGTGAACTCCAGCCCCACCCTGCAAGGAACTGTGTTCGAGGGCCGTAGAGTCCACCTATCCCTCCTCAGCTCAGGATGTACCAGGGATCACCGCAGCCCGTGAGTGAGGGGGTGAGGTCCACCCCGGCAGCAGTGTGTGGGCACAGTCCCTGCCCACAGAGAGCGGAGTGGGACCATTGACCTAGAGACTCTCAGAGACCCAGTGGCACAGACCCACTTGGGCAGCACAGGGTCTGCTGTCTGAAAATTACAGAGAAAGGACTTGCCTTCCGAATGCCTGAGGTCCCAGCTCTGAACCCAGTGACAGCGTAGCCTGATAGCCTGACCCCCCCCAACCCCGCCTAAGGCCTGGCGTCCAGTCCCCTGCATGGTCTTTCCTGTTCTGACGGTCCCACCAGTGCACACGGACTCAGGGCTGCAGCCTCTATCCCCAGGGACCTTCCAGAGACCACAGGTGTGCCGTCCCCTCTCTATCCTTTACCCAGGGGCTGCACACTTTCCCTGTAAAGAGCTGATTCTCTGGGGCTTTGTGGGCCACGAGGTCTCTGCTACAGCTCGTCAGCTCAAGCCACCACAGTGCAAAAGCCTCCGCAGACCGTAGGGAAGGGAACCTGGCTGTGTTCCGCTGTTCCCAGACCCACAAGAACAGGGCTGAGGTCCACCAGCCCTCACTCCGGCCATAAAAACCTGCCTGTCCGGCACCTTGGGAGCACAGGGTTCTACAAGCCATGGCACCTTCTTAGGGGAGAACTAAAGCTGTGGCGTGACTCCCTGCATGTGTGCAGCCCCATGTGGTCCCCACAAGAGGGCGCTAGTCCCCCACCAGCTGGCCCATTAGGTCCATTTGCTTCCCAGAACCTGGTGGCACCAGAAGGGGCCCGTTCACCGGGAGGTCCCTGTGCCCCAGGAGAATGCGGGACTTGGTGCACAGCACGTTCACTGGCTGCGAGGGCGGTGAAGGAGGGGAGTTCTGACCACGGCGGCCGTGTTGGGGACACGCTCACAGACAGGATGAGGGGAGCACTGGTCTGGGAAGTCAGTCTCCTTACCAAAAGGATTTGCAAGAATGTTTGTGGCTCAGGACCTAAGGAACTTGCTACAGGGAAGTGAGGTCAGAGGTCAGCTCAATCCTGAAATATAAAGGCAGCACACCAGGTCACACCGAGGCAGCGTCATCACAGGGAGGAGTGGGCACTCCCCCGCCACCTTCCCCGGTGCACGGCCTTCCTCGCTGGGACGGCACTGCCACCCCTCCGCCCCAGTTGAAAAGCCTGTGAGCCAGGTTTGGGAGACCGGGTGACCACTCCAGATGGGGACATAGGGGTTCTCGTGGACAGAGTAGCTCCTGACCTTAGGTGGACACTGGCTGGCTGGGGAGGGTAATGAGAGGGGGCTGAGCCTGGATAACACACTCTACATTCCTCTCTGGGTGCCGGTCGCCCAGGCCTCTGAGGGTGGCCAGATAGAAAATGCACAGCAGCCATTTAGACTGCTGCTGGAACCAAAGGACTCTGGGCTCTAGGCCACCCATGCACGTGGGGACAGCTGGGCTCAGGGTCAGACCTAGTCTCTCCCGTGGCCTGCCAGAGCTGTCCAGCTGCCTCCAGAGCTCCTCAGCCCCTGGCAGGATGGGATGGATGGGAAATGCGGAGGGTGCCCATGGTGTGCAGTGGGTGCTGTCCGGGGTGGGGGACAGTGTGATTCTAAGAACGAGAAGCCACGCAGCTGCAGCTGCCTCAGAGCTCCGCCCAGCGGAACAGATAGGACGTGACCTCGGGCTCTGGGCAGGCGGTGCGGGGCGGCTGCCACACGAGTGAGCATGAAGAATCACATTCTGCCCTGAATGATATATTGGTTTTGTCAGGGACTCAGCGTCTGAGCAAGCAGCCGGATCTGCTCCAGGCCCTTCCCTGGCCTCCTGCCTCTTTTCTCTTTCTGTGGGGGGCAGGGTGGGAGTGCAAGTCCTGGGCTTGGCACCGTCTCCCCAAGTGCCCGAGGGGACTGTCTCGGGGGAAATCAAGCCCGGATGAATCGTGCGGGGACAGGAACGAAGCCCTGGGGTGAACGCGGAAATGGTCAGAGCCTGTGCAGCTTGCAGGGGCGGGGCTCCCTGCCTGCTCCCAAACTGGGGCGCAGGGTGGGCTGAGTGGTCCCGAGGAGTCGAGGGGCCTACCTCTGTTCCTCCTCCAGTTCCTCTTTGGTCATCATCTTCTTGTACTGGTTTCCCCGCAGCTTCCCGGGGCTGTACTTGAAGGAGAAGGCCTCTCCTCCTGTGGAGAGGGGCCGGGTGAGAGCTGGCAGAGGTTTGGTGCCGGGCCCCTCCCGCAGGCTGAGTCCCGTTCCCCTTTGTTGGTTTTGAAGAACCCTCTCGGCCAGAGAGCCCCCCTTGGAAGAGGGGCAGAGGGCCCCATCGGCCAGCGCCAGCCCAGGTGTAGCCTTGGCCTAGGACAGGACTCGCGCCCTCACCTGCACCCCTCGGGCCCTCCTCCCCGACGTCCTGCTGAGACAGCCAGAGAGAAATGAGCGCCCACTCCTAGAATAACATGGCTCCTGCCACCACAGGCTTCCTCCCAGGGCCAGGCTGAGCCATCCAGAGAGCTGGCTGGCTGCCCCTTTCTCGCCAAGTCGCCGTCTGCAAGGCCTGTCTCGCCTCATCAGAAGCCCCCCACCCCCTTCACTGCTGTGCTGATCACAGTCAGACGGAGGGGGCTCATTTCTGGGAAGCAGGCCGTGCTAACGCGTTGGGCTCCCTGCCTCTCCCGGGTCCCGGGTCCTGTACAGGGACCCCTGCCTCTCCTGCTGAGGTCCTCCAGTCTCACGGACTTGGGGCCCATGCCCAGCAGTCCAGGGGTGTCATGTCAGCCAGGCTCATTCTCTCCATGCCACAGCTGCCTTTGAAAGCACAGAAGGGCAGTTCTCGAGGTCTGAGAAGGGGGCAGCGGGCGTTCGGACAGGGGAAAGCAGGGAGGTGTGATGTGGAGTGAAGGCAGGTGCTGGGCACACAGGCCAGATGCAGGCGGCGCATGCGGCAAGGGCAGAAGAGAAGAGACCAGGAGTCCACGTGGAGAGAAGCCTTTTGGGGAGCAATTGCCTGAAGGGGTCCTTCAGCCCGTCAGGTGCAGGGTACATGGCCTCTGGCCAGCCCTGGGGCAGAAGCTGAATGGCTTGTCTCCCCTCATTTCTATTAAGGCAAAAAGAACTGAGTAAGGGAGACGCAGAGACCAGCAGATCACCCTCCCAAGCTGGTGCGTTCTTTTTCAGTCCCATTCTAGAGGGTTCACTCCTCTCTCACTCCAGTGTCCGGAATCTCAAACACCTCCACGTCCTGCCTGCTGGGCCACCCGGGCCTTCAGCTGCTGCCTCTCCCACGTGATCAGAGAGGCTGATGGGGGCCCAAGGGGAGGAAGGGGCCTCGGCCTCTCAGATTCTGGTTTTTCTCTGGGCCAAACCGAGGAGGTTCTGGACGCTCACTGACAGCCCAGCCACTGTGCAGTGGGGGCTGGCCTGCCTCCTACCAACGCCTTGCCTACGAGAAGGCGGTACCGCACACACACGGTCCAGTGGCCCCTCACCCCACCCCCCACTGCCCAGGGGCGAGGTTTCTTGTTCCGGAGCAGTTACTATTTCTGTGCCAGGGTTAACTTGCCCGCGTCCGTCCACAGATGTTTCGTGAGCACTGTTCGAGGAGCTGGGGCTATGGCAGTGAGCAACACAGTGAGCAGAGAGTCGTGATGGAAACGCTGAGTTTGCAGCTGGTCGTGTGTGCTTGTGGAAAGGGCAGCAGGGCGGGGGTGGGGTTAGGGAGGGCTTTATAGAGCCAGCAAAGCAAGGAGGCTGGGTGGCACAGAGCCAGGGACAGGAGGACTCGGCCGTCCTCCAGGTGAGATGGGACTCCCCGCAGAGACCGGTGGTGACACCTCCCTCCTCACTGGAGACCCCCCACTCCCTCTGGCCAGCTCCTCCCTCCAGGCTGAGCTCTGGAGGGGGCCTGAGAGCACCATTCCTCCTGGTCACTCAGAATCACGAGCTTCTAGCAGCACAGGGTGTGGAGAGACAGGGTCTGGGGTCTGGGAACCCTGCTGAGTGACTCAGGGGCACGGTTTGAGGGGCCTGGGCTCGGCAGTAACACTGAGCTGCAGACTCTTTAGAAAGAGTGGCCGCGGTGCTCGCCCCTGACCAGCAAGAGGCAACAAAGAAAGCCAGTTCACCTCCATGTCGAGGTCAGTGTGTTGCTGTTTTGAAGAAATAAAACGTTAAAATGCTGCTAGCTGGGTTTCAATTTACAGGGCATGTCTGATTAGTTTTACAATTTCCAAGCCAGGGAGACGTGAAAGGGCTTTCACGTGATCACATGCGTGTACCAAGCGACACAGCCATTTCCAGTTTTGCCAGAGCAGGGGGGCTGTGTACAGCCCCTGGGGAGGGCAAAGGCTTCCTCCTGTCTCTTACGTGAATCCACTGCTGGGGGCCCACAAACCAATCAATTATCCCCGGGGGCTGCGCTGCTCATGGCAGAGGGCCTGGCCATCCGCTCATGCTTTCTCCTGCCAGCTGGGGCCTCAGACCTCTCCTCCCTCTCCTAGGCAGGCCTGCAGGGGGTGGCTGTGGGGAGGGAGTCCAGGGCAGGAGGGAGGCCCAGGGACTGGGCACAGGCTGGGCTGGAGCTCTGCAGAGTGGTCTGCAGGGCACTGGCCCAGGGGCCTCCAGCAGCCTCAGCTTTTGCTGCCTGTGTCCCCAAGTCACTAACAGGACCCACTGACGTGGCAGAGACAGACCCTGGGGCACAGTTTCTGCAGACAGTCTGAGAGAACCGACAGTTTGGACAGAGAGCCACTAGAAGGGGCTGATGTCTACCCCACCTGCACCCCCCTGCAGCTGCCTGCCCTTCCCCCGCCTCTGAGGCTGTGTTGACAGAGCGGAGGGCCCAGCCCTGCTCCCCCACCCCCGCCCACACTGGCCTTGGTTGCTGCATTCCTGCAAACCTCTCTTTCCACGGCTCTTGCCAGCTGTCTGACTTAAAGTCACAGCAATAGCCTTGCTTTAAAAAATTACAAAGTATTTCAAACATACACAAAAGTACTGCAGTAAGTCCTCCACATACTTGCTGTATACATATAACAAATGTTGACATTTTGCTGGTTTTGCTGCAGGTTTTTTAAAAGAACTGAAACATAACGGATGTGGCAGAAGCCCCACCCATGCTGGGTTCCCCCTCTGTCCAGGACTGGCCCCTGGGTGGGTGGCCCAGGGAGAACAATGCCGTCCACTGGGTTGTTTTGAACTGGTCAGTTTCCTCCATGTTCCTGGTCTCACTTGCTTTCTCATCTCCCGGCCGCCTGGAATCCGATGGCCAGGGAGGCCTGGCTAGTTAGTGGCAGCTGCTCAGAAACCAGGCCTTTCCTCCCCCGGGGCCTTTCTTCTGTGGCAAGCAGGGCAGTGGCCCTGTGAATGGCTTCAGTCTCCGGAACAGAGACAGGAAATGCCTGAGGCTGGCTGGGCCCAGAGGAAGCAGTTGGGGTGCTCAGTTCATTCTCGAGATGGGCCTCCTGTACTTGGACCCAGGTCATATTTTATTGGTGGAGAGGCGTAGGCTGAAAGTGCCGAGGAGGGGGATGGGGAGGTGGGTGCAGAAGGCGGGGTCGGCGGGCTCGACCCGGACGTCCTCCGGGCCATGAGGGGCTGACGCCTCAGCCCTTCTCCCTTATTCTCTCCCCACCCACCCACTGCCTTCCCATTGCCACTTAGATCCTCAACAGGGGACCGGCCCCAAAGGCCCGCAGCGCAGCCCAGCCTTCCTGGCCAGACAGAGGGGGCTCGGGAGAGGCAGAGGGGTGTGGCCTGGGGGAAGGGCCCACTCACCTTCTTCCTCCTCAGGCTCTGCTGGGTCCTGCTCCTGCTCCTGCTCCTGCTCCTGCAAGACAAGGCGCATGAGTTCACTGCCTGGAGTGCGGGCCAGTTTACTGCCCAACACCTGACCCCTGGGCCCACTCACGAGAGAGATGTCCTGCAGCAGCATGGGGACCACTGCCCCACCTCACCAGGGTGGTGTGTGACCGCCCTGGTGAGGTGGGGCAGTGGTGGGCAGAATGGTGGGGAGGGAGGAGAGGACCGTGGGCACGTCCGGGAGGATGATGGGGGCCACAGTCAGCCGCAGTGGGAACTGTGATGTTAGTGCGGACACTGTGTGGCCAAGACGAGGGGAGACCCCAGGCCCAGGAACAGTGTGTTTGTCCTTGTGCCTCGGGCCCTTCTCCAGCTGGGTGCTGGTCAAAGTATTTGAATGTCTTTCTGATTAGTGGACTGGGGACTCCCACACCCTCACCACCACGAGGCGAGCGGGCCGCTTCTCTGAGGTGACGTGGGCCGGGCTCCACAGAGAAGCTGCATTTGTGGTCGCAGGTTCCGTCCACCTCTGCTTCCTCCAACGTCATTCCTGTCCCTAAGCACTTTCCCAAAATCGGAGCTCTACCTCCTTCAGCCCGCTTCTCTCCCACGCACAGACACAGTGAGCAGATGGCTGGAAGGGACATCCCAGAATGGCCTTGGTGGCAGGAAGGAGTGACTTCAACTTGCAGGAATGTCGGGGGGTGAGAAGTGCCCGTTGGAGGGTGGGAGTGTGTGTCGAGGGGACCGACCAAACCGTGACCGAGAAGCCCGTGGGGAAATACCTGCAGGTTTAAGACAGGAGACAAGTGCGAGTGGGCTGTCCCTCCACAGAGAGGGCTGCACAGTAGACGGACCCAGAGCCAGGCTTTCAGGGCTTTGGTTCTAGGGGTCCGGCCAAAGTTGGCAGCCTCAGCAAGAGCACTGGGCACCAGACGGAGCAGAGCAAGCGGAGCCGGGGGGCAGCGCTTGCACAGGCCCGACAGTTAGGGCCTCGCTCTGCCCCGGCCCCCACGAAACGCAGGCCGGGGAGGTGGCAGCAGACCACACAGGCCCCTCTCCCCTCCCCCCAGGCACCGTCTCAGCGCGGGCGATGCTGCCCCACGAGCCGGTCAGCACCTGGGGCTCCCGTGTCCAGGGACCTCTCAGACTGGCACGGTTCCGGGGCTGTCACAGTGGAGACACGCCTTTGCCTCAGCAAAGCCACTTCCAGGCGTGCTCCGGACTAGAAAACCATCTACCTGGGCCTTCATTCAGTGACTTTGACTGTGTGTAGCAGACGAGAAAACCGGAAACAGCTCCATGTTTTCCCGAAGGGTTCAGTGTATTACAGTTAAGTGTGTTTGGGCAGTATGTTCACCAAAATACCGACGGGTTAAATATATTACCAGGCACGCAGACCATGCAATACTGAGCATCGAACAGGAGGCGCCCCGACTTACTGATGTGAAAAGCAAGCCTCGGGGTAACCCCCAGAGGAAACAGCAGCCGGGAGAGGGGCGTGCACGCTCCGGCGCAGCTGTGAAAGCGGAGTGCGCACAGGTGCTCGTGAGTGCAGAGCAGACGTCTGCAGGGCAGAAGACATTGGCTGTGAGGGGCGCGCAGCCTGACTTTTCATCTCATACGTTTCAGTGCAGTTTGGATTTTGTACGTGTGCCTGAATTACTCTTTATATATTTTTATTTTATTTTTTTCATACATACTACTTTTTAAAAACTTTTTTTAAAAAAGATTTTATTTATTCCACTTCAGAGGGGGAAGGGAAGGAAAGGAGAGAGGGAGGGAAACAGTTGATGTTTTGATATTTCAGTGTATGGTTGCCTCTCCTGCATTCCCTAGCTGGGAACTGGCCTGCAACCCAGGCATGTGCCCTGACTGGGAATTGAACTGCGGTCCCTTGGTTCGCAGGCTCTCGCTCAGTCCACTGAGCCACACCAGCCAGGGCTCTTTACATATTTTTAAAAATGCCATATGTGGTCTCTGAACAGTTGAGATTGGGCTAGTATACATTTTTCTTTATTTTAAGTAAAGAAAGAAACAAACAGCCATTAACCTACCCAGGGCCGGGCCCCGGGAAATAGCTTAATACCGAGGCTAGAGGCGGGGTCAGTTCTCTGATCACGTTCAAGGGACATGAAGATTAAGAGAGAAAATTACAGCAAAACCCAGCACAGTCTCTGTCCTGAAGGAACTCGCTGTCCCGCAGGGAAGACACACACAGACAGTCCAAGAGCCATGGCGGCCCCTGTGGTCCCCAAGGGATATGGCCTCAGCCGGCCCGACGACACCCTCCTGGGGGCGGCTGGCCCACCTTCGGGTTTCTCACTTGGCCCCTGGAGTGCGGCGCCTTCCAAACTGGTCGAGACCAGTGCGGTGGGTCACAGGAGCAATCTGGCGATTGCCACCGTTGTTTTAAAAATGCAGCCAATCTTGGTGAGGTTTTAAACTTTAATAACTTCGGAAGCATAAATGCTGCAAACACACCAAAAAATGACATTTGAAAGGTTATTTGCATTTTAAGTATACTGACGTTTCTCGTCAGATTCACGGAAGACCACCACCTGGCGCTGCCCATTGCTTTGCTGGTTTTCGGACTCCGAAAACACAGTCACGGGCTGGCGCTGGTCAGTGGCTGAAGGGACCGCCTTGGTCATTTCCGCCTCACGAGGCCTGAAGGCACATGTGACAGGGAGGGCATGGGGACCTCGGGGAGGGCGCCAGGTGCCCACAGCACCCCCGGGCAAGGCTTCCCCTCCCCCCTGCCCGGCCAGATTCTGGCACACAGAGAATTGAGATGAAAACCTGGCTTTCGAGCGTCAGGAAACTAAGTGTAAAGGCATTAAAATAAGTCAGTATCCAACGGGTGTGTTTGTAGGTTTGCAGCATTTACACTTCCTGAGTTATTGAAACTGCACTAAGACTTGGGGGGCACCCTGTGGCCCAGAATTAAGTTAAAGGTGAGTGGTGCGGTGTGCATGGTGGAGGCAGACAGTGTTTCACAAATCCTGCTGCGGTGTCACTCTGGACAGCAAACTACAATCAGTGTCTGTCATGAGACCTCGGGGTGTGCACGGCACACCACACAGAGGCCCTCCTTGCAGCAGGTGCCCTTTGAAGCCCGGGGTCCCAGCGGGAAGTGCCGGCTGTGGCGGTCAGCCCTCCGCCGCCCCACAGACCAGCATGTGGAGGTGACCCAGGGAACCGCCTTTCCCTCGGGGACGAGGGAGCCCGAGCGGAGAGGCCCCAGAGGGTGTCCCGCCCTCTGTCCCTGTGTGCGGGCCACTCAACTCCAAGTTCCTGTCGCTGACAGCCAGGGAGTCCCAGCCACTGTCACTGTGGCAAGCCCAGAACATCACAAGCTCTTGGGCTGGGTGGGGTGGGGGGTACTGTTGCCTGTGTCCAGTTCCAGCAGGGCAGCGGTTCTCAAGGTGGGCACCAGGAAGGCACCCCAGGGCCTCACATTTATCTGGGTTTCTTAGTGGGCTTTTAGACAACATCAGAATGATGGGAAAGATTCCATTAGGGGTTTTACCTTCTCTCCATCCTCAGTCCTTCGGCACATGCGGTTTTGCACGTGTGTTCTCAGGAACACGTGCTGCACGTAAGGGAAGCGGGGGGTCCTAGGAAAGGGGGCTCAGCGGGCCTCAGGGACACGGGGAGGGGGGCCTTTGCACGGCGGGGTGAGAACGCTAAGCTGGCTCTGAGATGAGATTGCCAGACACAGGACACCATGGCTTTTCCTGTGACTCTCGGAGTCTCGTGTGACTGCAGGGTCGGGAGTGGTCAGGACCACAGGGCCATCTGTGACAGGACGAGGCGCTGAGGGGCCACTGGAAACTTTTAGACGGGAGAAATAGGGTGGGAGCTGCATTGTGAGAATGCCCCGGCCAAGGGCAACGCTGGAGGAGGCAGGAAGCACTCCGAAGGGCCAGAGCTTGGGGGAGAGATACGAGAGCCTGAACCGAGGCTCGAGTCTGTGTCTGTGCAGTGAGCCGGAGGAGGACTGGCTGCAGCTGCCCAAAGGCAGTCCCTCAAGACCATGACGCCCGAGTCCCACTGTGGGGCTTGCTGTCCCCTGGCCTTCAGGGCAGCTGCGCTGGGCCAGGACCGGGCCTAGAGGCAGCCTCAACCCGGCCACTGCTGGGAGGGCTGACTGCAGACTTCACAAAGAGGCCATCACTGCTCACCAGTCGTGGATGCCCTTGGCCATGAGTGGTGCGCGATACTGGGTGTTACGGCCTGAATCCTGTCCCTCCCCAGATCCATGTTTAGGGCCTACCTCCCAGTGCCTCCCACTGTGACTGTATTTTTTGGAAGAGTTTTTACGAGTTTATTTGAGCCCAAACCGATGACAATGGCCTGGCAACAAGATCAGGAATGCTCCCAGGCTGGGACTGCATTTGGAGAGGGGTCTTTAAGGAAGCAGTTAAGTTAAAACGAGGCCGTCAGAGTGGGCACAGGCCCAGTCCGACTGGCGTCCTTATAAGAAGAGGAGATTGGGAAACACGGAGAGACACCAGGGACGAGCCCGCACAGAGGGAGGACCATGTGTGGACGTGGGGAGAAGACGGCCACCGGCAAGCCAAGGAAGGAGAGGCCTCGGGGAGCCACCTCTGCTGACACCTTGACCTCAGCGCCGATGTAATGAAAACTGTGAATTGGTGACACCCTCTGAGACAGACAGCTGGCGTCATCCTGGCTGGTCCCCAAAGGAGGCCTGGGCTGAGACCCAGTCCCGGTCACCCCACTGGGCAGTCTCAGCACCGTTAGGGGATGGTGACTGCTCTGGACTCCACGTGCAAAGCTTTTCCTCCAGTGGAGGGCGGGGTGTGGGGAGCACCATGGAACTGCCATCTGAGACCTCGCCAGTGCCGGGGGCTCAGAGACCAAGAAGGGAGGCGTGGCAGAGGGGACAGGCAGGTGGCTGCAGGGCTCAGAGGGACTCAGAGGGAGGCTTCCAGGAGCTACTGAGAGCCCCCCACATGCCGCGAAGGCAGCCCAGTGCCAATGATGGCTGCCCTGGCTGCT